TGCCACAGTCGGTAAGTAAAATTGTCTAGCATGAAATGTCAGAGTTAAATAATAATATCAAAGTACTTAAGTAGGAAGTGTTTGATGTCAACATGAAACATGGGCAGAGTCTAGTACGCTAGCTAGACGTCAACACTTCCCTTGATGAATAAAATTGTCCGGCATTAGGCAAGATAACATTTAATAACAAAGTGCTGAATATTGGGCTCATTGGAGTGAAATGGGTAATTCCAAAAACAATCAAACCCTTGCCGGGGTGTCTCTAAAATATATAAAATGTAGCCCAAAGGTTGTTACATATATTATTAAGCAGAACATGTGGTGTATTACCTAAATGTATTCATAAGTTTGAACAAGCAAACTAAGGACTTCAACTGTTTTCAGTAAGGGACACATCTATAATCAAGTTGCCACATATGACAACAACACATCAAATTGATATTTTTATCTATCCTAAACTCATCCACCTGTATATGAATAAATATTGGAAACTTATGAAAGTACCAGTTAATTTGAAACCAGTCGATAAATTTTCCCAAACCATGTTTAGCTGGGACATGTTTGGGTAGGCATATGAGAATTGAGTAGATGCCATCATGTCAAGCTATATTATTTTATACAACAAACACTGGAATCTGGCAATCTGTCATTTAGTGTCATATACACTATAGTATACACAAAGATCAAAGTATACTATTAATTGGCATTACAATAAACATCATTTATAAATATAAAGGCTGAGTCAAATGTAAGCCATTCTATAAAACTAATGTTGTTTTAATTCAAATATTGTCGCAGCAAATTGAAATTTTAAGCCGGAACATTTGCTCAAAATTCACGAATGAAGATAGTAAATATTTCCTTTCAAAATTGCTCTATTTATATATAAAACATAACAAAATTCTTACCTGGATGTTACCCAGTCATCCCTGTCCTTTTATCTTTACAATAAGTAACACTTTCGCTCAATAAAAGCTCTGTATTTGAGCCATTTCGAGCGGAAAGTTTAAAACAAAAAAAATTTAAAATATGGCGTTGTGAATTGTGACGCTATCCCAGAAAGCTTAGCGCGCGTTGTAAGAAAATTAGGCACCAGTCTGTCAAACTGCGCTCGTCGTGAGAATCTTTGGTGGTATTCATGGCATGGTGTTTTGTCAAAAATGCTGTTTTGCCAAGAGACAAAATACCTACCTCCACAAAGTCCACAAAGACTATAAATATTTTTGTAAATATAATTTCAATGAACTGATGAAAAATTTAAAATTAACGAACTCAAATTGGGAAATTTTGACCAGTTAAATAAATACATTTACCCTTTCTAAATTCTCACAACTTTCTATTTGAATAGCAAATAAATAGCTTTTAAGATCTAATTATTTTGCTATTTCAGTGCCTTTTTTAACTATATATACATTTGGGGGGGGGGAGCAATTGCTCGCCCCTTCCCAGGGAAAGAATTCCCCCCCCCCCAGTAAAACCATTTCTGCCCCGAAGTGCGAAGCAGAATTGCTCATGATTGCTGTCAGAATTGCAGTTGATTCACTTGATGATGAGATTATGCCCTTCCATAGCCTCCTCCACAGCTATCTTGTGTGTAATTCATATTGTTCTTCACCGAGTATTTCATAATAGCGATAGATTTCATGCAAACAATCCGATAAAATGCTGGTTCCAAAAAGAATATATTTAGTTTAGATTTTTTACTGTTAAATACATGTATTCATCATCATAGCACGAATGTTTCTTCTCAGATTTATTCTGTATCGTATGAAAAAGCAACGCAATTTTGAGAATGCGGAAATGGTGTCTCATAGAACCGAAAATGATTTAAATGCAACATTTCTGATCAAAATCACATAGGGATCCCCCCCTAGCATCACAGAGAGGAAATAAGGTGTCTCCTAGTCTCCTCAAGGTGACGTTTCCAATTTATTTAATTCCGAGTAGAAATGTCTGGAAAAATTCATGTCTTCGATGTACTTTATAATCTTCGGAACTCGTCGGAATTTCACTCCCAAAATGCTTGAAATCGCAATTCAGCCACCCTAGATTTGAAAATTTCCCCGGGGGTGCATGCACCCGGACCCTCCTAGACTGTTCATAACCCCCCCCTCACCAAAAAAAAATTAAGGTCTGGCTACGCCACTGGTTATAGCTGTACGATTATAGCTACAAAGTGTTGAAGTTATTGTCTATATAGGTGAAGTTAATAAATTCAAGTTTTACAAAATCTCTCTTCAGACTCGCGTGTTCGCCAAACTTCGATGTGTCATATTTTTTGTTCTGCCTTTTTTCCTGTTTTGCCCCCCCCCCCCGCCCTAGTAAAAATTCCATAAAAAAGGCACTGTGCTATTTATTAGCTATTTTAACAATAGCTCTAAAAATAAAAGTAAACATAGTGTAAAATTAGCTATTTAATAGCCATTTTGACCAAAATTCGCTACAACTTTCTATGAATAGGAATTAAATAGCTATTTAAGATGTACTTATTTTGCTATTTAATAACTATTCTAAGAATGGCTCTAAAAATTAAAAAATAAAAGAAAACATAGTTTAAAAATGGCTATTTAATAGCTATGTGGAACAAAGTTCGCCACAACTTTCTATGAATAGGAATTCAATGGCTATTTAAGATCTATTTATTTTCCTATTTAATAACTATTTTAACAATACTCAATAATATCTCCAAAAATAAAAGCAAACATATTTTAAAAATAGCTATTTTATAGCTATTTTGAACAAAGTTTGACACAATTTTCTATGAATACGAATCAACTAGTTATTTAAGACCTATTTATTTTGCTATTTAATAACTATGTTAAGAATGGTTCCAAAGAAGATATGCAAAAATAGTTTAAAAATAGCTATTTAAACTATTTTAACTGACTCGTTTGTCATCAATAGGAATTAAATAGCTATTTAAAAGCTATTTTATAGTGAGATTCCGACAATTACTCTTTCAAATAGGATTTGAATATCTATTTCAAAGCTATTTTTTTGAAAAATATATATAACCTATATTTTAAATAGGCCGTAAATAGTCATATACTATTTTATGAAATTTGATAAATAGTAATAAAATAGACATATTTTTGAAAAAATACGGAAAAAATAGGGCTAAATAGAGAAAAAATAGGTATAAAATAGGTTATAAATATGTCGGATTCTACAAGCGAACACATCAATACACCCTTTCGATAATTACGTCACAACTACACTGTTTTGAACTTAGGACCACCTCAAATGGAAAGGATGTCATGTTTTTTTCTCATGGGCTATTACGCACAGAGAAGAAGAAGAACATCCTTCTTCAACACATGCGCGTAAAAAATTTGGATTTTGATCAATAAATATAGAAATAAGCATTAACACGAAAACGCGGCTCCAGGTCATAACCTGGAGCCTTGTTTTCGCGTTAAAGCTTATTTCCATATTTATTGGTAAAATTAAACAATTAGTTTTCATGAATGTCTTGACCAAGGATGTTCTGCTTCTCGGTGCATAACCCATGAGGAAAAAAACTTGAAATCCTTTCCATTTAAGGTGGTCCTAAGTTCAAAGCAGTGTATAGTTGTGACGTAATTATCCAAAGGGTGTATTGATCAAAGGTGATTGCTAGACAGTATACTTCAAAATAAGGTTTCTGTTTTTATAACGTAGAAAAAACTATCCCAACGCAAAACTAAACGCTAACCCTAATACTAGCCCTAATCCTAACCCCAACCTAACCCTAACCTAAACCCTAACTAACCCTAACTTATTTTAAAAATTGATATAAAAACGCAAATCTTATTTTGAAGTATACTATCTAGCAATTGCCATTGATCAAATTGGTTTTGGCCATCTTATCTCAAAGCATGAAATGTTCTGTTTTGAGAAAACATCATTAAAAACATTTAATTAAATTTTTGCTTGAATATCTTATATTTTGAAAAACAGTACAAACTGTACGGTCTTAACTTAGTTTGAACGAAAGTTGTAAACGACACCATATAAGGACAGACATTCCATATTTTGAAAAACGAACGATTCGGGGCAGATATTCAAAATTTTATCTCATCAGGCAGGCTCTCATTTCACCTCGAGAGCCTACTTGCAGGCTGGAATTATCCACTCATGTAGATTATTCTAAAGCTTAGTTACTTTGTTGTATTCCGTGCTTCTGTATACTAGAACAATGATAATTATAGTTAATTAAACAAACGTCAGCCAGATATTGTCTATTCATTATTTAATATATGATGTCAACAACCTAACGAACGTCTGTAGTCATCGCGATTGTTTGTGGTAATGCCTCTAGAAATTTCCCAGGCAATCGCGTAAATTGCTTCTGGAAAATCTATAAACCTACGATATCTTAAGTGTGTATAAAACGACAATAAGTGGTCGGATTAAAAATTCTTTATTCCCACGCATTCTGATTGTATTGCAAAATAGCTTGCTACATATAGGGGCAACTCAAAGAGTAAGGGTTGCCTATAATTGCAAATTCTCGGTCTAGTCAATCCGTTCAAACTAAGTGTTCTCAAAAGAGATTTGGTATATCGTGAACTGTACTTTTCACGAGAATGAAATTATTTATCACATTCCTATTTGGAACTGCCGGGCTATTCATTGATATTGACGGTAAATTTTGACATTGCATTTTTATTGCCTTGTAATAAAGATCTCTTTCATGATATGTTTATAATCCGTTAAGTGAAGTCGCGCACGGTTAGACAGATAATATGACGTTTAGGACTTAGCACAAAGTTATTCAATAAAGTGTAAATGTAGTTACTTATGCTCTACTTGTGTTATCAGATTACTTCTAAGTGAATATATATATATATATATATATATATATATATATATATATATATATATATATATATATATATATATATATATATATATATATATATATATAGCTTAAGTTTTTGGTTTACGAAACGCAAACAGTACTCAATATCATATAGATAAAGCGAAATATTTTTTTTACCTCAAAACAATCACAACAGTCTGTTTCATCCGTATAGGAATCATCAGGTGGTCCACCAATCATCAGACCACCTGATGATTCCTATACGGATGAAACAGACTGTTCTGGTTGTTTTGACGTAAAATGTCTGCAGATTGTATATTTATTATATATTTTCTGGTTTCTAATTGGCTAACAGTCAACTGTGAAATTGTCATATCAACTCAATGGCTAACCAAATATGGAGTTTTCGCATTCATGTTAGCAAAACGACGTCAAAGAGTCAATATGAAAAAAATTTGGACGCGTTTCCGCCATATTACTATGACGACGAGAATCATATTGACTCGCTGACGCCATTGATATGACGACCACGACGACTGCCGAAGGACTAAGGAATTTTTTTTTTCTTAATACAAATAAAATACACATGTTTTGAATTTTTTAAATGAAAAAACAACAAAATCGGTTTTCGCACAAAATGAAGACTTATCAAGCCCTCAGTTTGCCGTTATCAACCTCAGCCTTCCGCTTCGGTTGATAACGGTAAACTAAAGGCTTAATAATTCTTCATATCGTGCTCAACCTCATTCAATAATATATATATATATATATATATATATATATATATATATATATATATATATATATATATATATATATATATATTTAATCTAGTATAATCTAGTTTAATTTATCATGTTTACTCTACTATGATTTAAGTTTAAATAAATTAATACAAAGCCCAGTCGAACTGTAATCTATCCCGCGTGCAGGCCCATGCACCGAGGGAAAATAGAGAGCTTGCAAGGAAGGGAAGAATAGTGAGTTTGCCCGGTATTTTGTACTTTCCGCGTTCGCCCACGAATTAACGCAGCATTCTGATTGGCTGTTTGCTGTTGGATTCGACAATTAGATCAGTGATTCATCACAAATTAAGGCTCTCAATAAGCTTTTAAAATTGGATCTGATCACTATTTTCTATTACAAATGGAACAAGAACAGACTGTTTATTGTTTACTTGAAGGAAGAGATGTTTTTGCCGTCATTCCAACGGGGATTGCTTGTCGTGAAGTGTTGAAATAGCAAAATTAAAACTGGGGTAAACTATAGTAACCTTTACTTGAGTCTTATTAATTAATTCTTATTAATTTGAAACAGACTAATTTCTATAATTTCTTATTAATTTGAAACGGACTTGATATGTTGTATGTTCTTCAAGAAAATTATCTTTTGGTTGATGTTGACTCTGTTCTTGTACTGAAGAAAACAGCGCTTTTGGCGGTGAAGATTTAGAGGCAGCTGCATGTAAGCCTATTCAAAACGGTTTGCGATTTGCAGGGCTTCGCTGAGAGAGCGAAACAGAAAACGCTAATAGCCGTTTGAAACGAAACGATCTGAACTCTGAACGCTCTAATCTTTTGTCAAGTTCTGTACCAAATGAAATAACTGAAATAAATTTCGTACTGTCCGCCGCCAACAAGAATTGCACACACGATCTGATAAATGAGACAATTTATATATAACAATGGCGACAGTCAAGCACACATTAATGCTAGTATGTTCGCACGACTTCTCTCACGATTGGAAGTTTGAGACAGGTTTTCTGTTGACATTCGCCATAATTTGCCTGTTCCGAATATAGCTGAAAATGAGCACTTGCAAATTTGGAAATTACTGATTGCGTTGCTTGCTTTTTTGGAGTTAAAAAGCAGCAATTTTAATAGACATTGTCTCTATTCTGAATAACCACAGAAAACACCGCAACATTTTAATACGAGTTTGTTTGTCGCTACTTGGGTTGCTGTCATTTGTTTTTTTTTTTACAATTGGCGCACGAATGGGGCGTGTTATGAGAAGGGGCGTTTTGCAAAATACCGGATCTTCCTTGCAGGCCCACTATTCTACCCATCGGTGGCCTGCACGCGGGTTAATTGTAATCGAGACCCAACGTTTCGACACTCCAGTCTAGTGTCTTCATCTGGGATGACTTAAAGTTGCAATGTGGCTTCTTAAATACCCAAGGGATGACTTGATCTGCCAATAAGGTGCTTGTATTCCTTGGAAAATAGGCACCGGCATCCCTATTCAAAGCATGATTACTCATATTTATATGCCATTCTTCTAGGCATCGTCTATGGCCATGGCGATTGTTTCTAGTAATTAATTATTTTAGAATTTTCCCACGCAATCTTGTGTTCGGTGTCACACACATGTCCCGCTAAAGCCGATTTCCTCTTGTTTTAAATTTATTAAACTTAAATCTGACTACAGATTTAAGCTTTTCTTCGATTAATTCGCTTTTCTTTGTAATAAATTTGTAGCAAGAACAACACCGATCTCAGCAACAAACCTCAACAGTGACACCGCCCTTAGCAGCGAACACAACAACTGCACGGACCTCTGCCGCGAACACAATTACAACAATAACAGGTGAAACGGCGAACACGGCAACAACCCCGACCTCCGTACCAAACACAACATCAACAACAACGGGAACGTCAGCGGATAACACAACATTAACGCCGAACTCGGGAGCGAAAATAACAACAACGCCCAACTCAGCAACAAACACAGCAACACCAGCGACCTCCCCACCGAACACAACAACATCAGCAACACCGACCTCGAATATAACAAGAACACCTACGTCAGCGGCTAGCACAACAGTTACGCCGACCTCAGGAGCGAACATAATAACAACACCCAACTCGGCAATAAACGCAGTAACAACAGCGATCTCCGCAGCTAACACAACAACACGAACACCAACGTCAGCGGCGAGGACAACATTAACGCCAACCTCCGGATCGAACATGACGACAACACCCAACTTGGCAACAAAAACAGCAACAACAGAGATCTCCGCACCTAACACAACAACAACAACAACAACAACAACAACAACAACAACAACACTAACGCCAATCTCAGCAGCGAACATAACAACAACGCCGAACTCCGCAACAAACACAGCAACAACAAAAACGTTACCAACGTCAGCGGCGAGCACAACAGGAACGCCGGCCTCAGGAGAGAGGATAACGACAACACCCAACTCGGCAATAAACACAGCAACAGCTACCTCGGGACCAAACACAACAACAACAACAATACCAATGTCAGCGGCGAGCACAGCAGTAACGGCGACCTCAGGAGTGAAGATGACAACAACACTCACTTCAACAACGAACACAGCAACAATAGCAACCTCCGCGCCGAATACAACAACAACAGCGTCTACAGCGGGCACAAAAACAACGTCGATTGCTGGAGCGGACACGACAACGACATCGACCTTAGTAACAAACACAGCAGCAACACCGACCTCCGCACGGAGTACGACATCAACAACGCCGATTAATTCAGGATACACAACAGTAACACTGGCCTCAAGAACAACTCCAACCTCAGCATTAAGATTGACCGAAAATGCAACAACAGTGACACTAAATGTTACCTATACAACAGTCAGAGCAATAGCGACAACATCAGGTATTTCTACTTGAGTTTTAGAAATATATATTCTTTTTGTATATATTGTTAATGATCAAAAGTAACTAAAATAAATATTTTAAATCACGGTTAAGTTACTTAATTTATCGATTCCATCGGTTGGTATTTAGTCACAAAACGTCTTATCTTGAAAGATCTATTATCAAAACGTCGTTTTGATTTTCGAATTTACCAATTGTGGTAATGAAATTTTCGACGTATTTTGAATGACCCTCCTTTGTTTAGGCATATGCGGGTATAGCATAGACTATGTTGGAAATGAGTTTGTTAATTTATGGGACAGGGGTTTTAGTATGTACATTATGAGCAGTGCATTGTACGGCGAATGTCGTGTTCCATATAAAAAGATTTGAATCGTGATGATAGAAAAATGAATCTGTATCTCTTGTAATTATTTCAGTTATCAATACTTGTCAAACAAATCCATGTAGCCCAATTGCATCATGTCAAGTTGCGCCAGGTTCATTTACGTGTAGATGTAATATTGGTTTTGATGGTGATGGAGTACATTGTTCAGGTAAAATCGTTATTTATTTGAACAGTGTGATAGGATATTTTTGCATTTGAGTGGCCCATCAAAACGAGGATGCTTTTCCAGGCAGTTAAATGTTCAAACTTTTGAAGCATTTTATTAAATGCTTTTGAAATTGTTAATCTAAATAAATCTCGAAAACTGAAGTCAACTATATGTCGGAAATCCTGAACATATAGTTGCACGAAATCCTGTGTTGCATACCGTAACATGATTTATGTATTGTTAGAATGTCATTCTGATAATCCGTGTAAAAATGAAAAAAATAAAGGGTGCTAATTCCACTTGGTATACAACCATAGGCTATCCGGAAAACATGCAGGCACAGGAAACGCAGACCATCTATTTCTAACATATATAAAGTATAGGTATGTTCTTTTCCCTTGTTTGGGCGTTATTGAAATGTATATAATTCAACACGAAATGCTTCGCCGTTAAATTAAACTTTTTTATACGTTAATTAAAATTAACAGGTTTTGCCGAAAAACTCTTCAACTTATTACTCGTTCTTTGAAATTTTTGAACTTATTACTCATCCACTGGTGTAAATTGCCGCCAAGCGGAAAACCATCATCACCACGGGCTTCGCCGTACGCCCTCCGCTCGTGGCTCGGGGATTGTTATGCTCGAAATGGAGCAATTTATTGTGCGATAGTGAGCAGAGAATAATTGCCATGCATGGTAAGAAAGTTTCTTTTTTTCATTTTGATGATAATTGTAATCATAACTTCAGTTTTTTCAGATTGTTTACATCGAGATTGCAGTTTAAAACGTTTTTCGTAATTAAGTAGTTCTCTTTCCAATCTGTAACTTGAGGACAAAACTACCACTTGTGTCCTACAGCATAGATTTTCCTCTGTGATATACAACGTTAATGTAATTGAATCAGTAAGGCAGTTACAAATTTCTGCATTACACCAAAACAAAGTGCTTTCATCCATTTAGTTGCGTAATTACAAGAGTATCGCCATTTTTATTGTCTTGACTCAAGTGAATCACGTAACGATTAAGTCAAACAATGGCGATTTCTTGCTTTGTTACCTGCAAATTGATAAATAATGTAACGTTTTAAACTATAGTGACAGTGTTCGCAATAGTCATATACTCTGACAACAACAGTGGCGATATTGTGGTAGTCAAAAGTTCAAACAGATTGCAATTCTTGCCTTTGTTAGGCCTATATGATGTTCGAAAGAACAAAAAATATAAGATGTTCGAAAGAACAATATTTTCATCGTCATAGAAATTTTCAGTCAAAATATTAAATGTGAATCCTATACAATTAATTTAAAGCAGGTTTAGAAAGTTGGAAATTGGGAGTGAATTTACTCATAAATTTAGCTAATTTTACTCAAATGTGTTTGTCCGAATACTGAGAATGACATGATTATATGAAGCTCTCTAGATGTCTTTATGATTTAAATACAACTAAATTTTTCTTTTTTTCTGAGTATTTTTCAGCGACGTTTTTCAACGAAAGGTGAAATAAGATGGGAATTCAAATATGGTAATATTATGCGGACATTCTGGGTGATAGATTAATTGAAAACTACAAGGTTAAATTTCATGGCCCACCTGGCATATAACTACATTTGGGCTCCTGAATTACGTAATTGTTATATTTAAAGAGAACTGAATTGCGGCTCAGTTTTCTGCGAAAACATTAATTGAATGTGAAATTAAAATGCAGCCAACAAACAGTGCTTCTCTGCCTCTTTAGGAGTTCACAATGAGTGCTCAATAAAATCACAAAATTTAAACTATTTCAAGATTTTCAAAATTCATGTTCAAAATTCGTAATAGTATATAGGAATTATTGAACATTTCCGTCGGAATCCCTGGCACTTCCGATTTGTAAAGTCGGGGGCAAATGTTAACCCTCTAAACATTTTCGTAAGTTTTCGACATTCCCAATAATGCAATATATAAATGATAAATTTGGCTAGTAGAAAAAAAAATGGACCAAAATCTCCAATAAAGCAAACATTAATCGAATTGCTATATGCATGCTACCTGTTTTGCGTGGGTTCAAAATAATACGTTTTCAATCAAGCGCAAAGTTTTTTACCTGTTGTTTACTCATTTACTACGCATCAGCAAGGAAATTGCATAAAATTGGATCGCACATCAAAGTAGGGCCAATAAAACTTTTAGTTCAGGCCACACTCGGAAGTGGAGCACTTGGCACAGTGTATATGGTACGTTACACTGTAGAACGGAAACAATTTGCGCTAAAAGTAATCGATTGTAATAACCCGTCCACGACTGATGTAGTCAAGCGCGTCCAGCAAGAAACTATCACATTGACTTAAGGAAGGCACGAGCAAATGGTGCAAATCAAGACAGTCGATAATAAGTTATTATATAAAAAGTCATTGTTCCTCGTCTTAACAGAGCTCCGTTCAGACGGCGACTTGAACGCTCTGCTAAACGAACCCAGAAAAGAAAAAAAATCTGACATAGGTCTGCCAGGTTTACGAATCCTCAGATAACTTAAAATTCCTAGACCTACCCATTCTTCGTCGAAATCTGAAACCTGACTAATTATCCATTAACAAATAGGGGAAAGGACGACCTGAAGCTTCGAGATATTGGCTTAGCACGTGATATCGCTCAATCAAGAACCACGATTGCAATTCCGATTTGGGAGACATATATGAGTAGAACGTGCATGGCTTCTAGTGTGGGTAATATGGTCGAAATGGTACAAGAATTGTGCAGACAACGAGAATTACTAGCCGTACGGCAACTTTGATTGACAATGTATTTTTGAATTCAATAGAGAATTTTGTTTGTATAGTACGTTAATCTGATATTTGGAATATCATTTACCAAATTTATTATATGTAAATATTGTTCTTCCCTCTATTCAAATGTTAGAGTATTTAAAATATATTAACAAGCTCGCTTCGATCGTAACTGACAAATCTGATAAGTGACTTGGCGGTTTGTGGTACCACTGAAGAGGAAGTTCGGTCGAAGCCATGACCGTGGCTCGAGAGTTTGCGTTTAGTCATGGCCACGTTCACAAATTAGGTATCGACGAATTGGTAACGTATTTACATTTAACCTAGCTGTTCTTGAGTGCCGAGAACAACACCTCTCCCCTATAGTACCACAATCACACTTCCTAAGGAAGTGGAGATGAGCAAGGGCACTAAGACACGCTCCGAAAGAGACACTGTATAGCGAACGACTTATGACACGAGTTTGGGCCGATTGTTGACGCTGATTGCCGCGAACACAGGACGGGAAGGACGATGCGACAGACGAAGGATTGTGAGATACGAGGGTCGTTAACCCAGCGAGGCTGGCGCGAGGTGCCAGATCATGAACAGGGGAAAGTACTTAACTGAGATTGGGCAAACAACGGGCAGCGAGCCAAGCGATGGGGTTGGCTGCGGGCTTCCGCCGGGAAGGCTACGGATGGGCGTGGGTGAGGGGTGGGAACGACTAAGAACCCCCGTGGATGAGGGGGGATGGGAACAACTAAATGTCACGACTGAGAATGAGCTACTGGCGTAAACAACTTATATAAGGTAGGTTATGCAAATGCCCTTATTAGCATTTGCCAAGCTGTCCCTGGGGCCCCCTATTCTGATAACAAGCACAACAACTCAGCTGATGATGATGATGATAAACTTTATTTAACCACGCTAACATTGTCAGTAGAAGCTGGTTTCCACAATGGGCGTGTAAAAAACATTAAATTGTTACAAGTAAAATAATAAGGAAGTATTAACATGCAGAATATAAAATTACTAAAATATATACAAAAAGTTTGCTATTTACAATGATGTGGTTTTCTTTATAAGCTATAGGTAGCGATTTTTATTTTAAAACTTGAGAGCGAATTACTTTCTCTTATATTTTTTGGAAGAGAGTTCCATATGGAAGCTCCATCATACATGAAACTCTTTTTCATATTGTTTGTGTTTGGCTTGGGCAAACGTATGGTACTTGAGCTGTTACGAAGACTGCGGTTTAATATTTCTTTTTTGAAAGTAAATAATTCTTTGAGACAATTTGGCCCCCTGTTATTTAGCGTTTTAAACATTATTTTTGCCTTTGCTTTCACTCTTTGTTCCTTGAGTGGTTCCCATCCTAATATATTTAGCACAGTTTGTTGATCTACCTCATTAGGTACACATGCTATTACACGAGCAGCTCTGTTATGAAGTTTTTGGAGACGCGTGGATTGCGTTTCACCAAATATATTCCAAACTTCACAACAGTAGCTAAAGTATGGTTGAATTATAGCATTGTATACGGAAACGAGTGTTTTTTGATCAACATATTCTTTAATGCTTTTAAGAGCGTATATTCCAGATGATATCTTTTTACATATATTATCTGTATTGCTCTTCCAACACAAATTTTCATCAACAGTCACACCTAGTGTTTTACATTGAAAAACCTGCTTTATGGGTATGTTTTGAATGTGAATTTTAAGTTGCTGAACAGAAGCTTTCTTCAGCATCTGTTTAGTACCAATAATTTGAAATTCAGTTTTCGCCACATTCAAGCTCAGTTTGTTTGCCATGAGCCATTTACGAAGCATTTCTAAATCTGAGTTTACTGCATCTTCAAGATCACTTAAGCATTCTCCAGCTGCTGTGATATTTGTATCATCAGCAAACAGCCGTGGTTTTGTTTTACTCAGACATGCAGGTAGATCATTAATATAGAGTAAGAAGAATAGTGGCCCCAATATAGACCCCTGGGGTACACCACATTTGACGTCGTTTTCCCCTGAAATAGATCCATTGACTTCACATCTTTGAGTACGACCAGTTAAGTATGATTTGAGTAATAGAAATGCACTTCCTGTGATTCCAACTAGTTTTAGTTTTTGCAATAAGATCTCATGGTCAACAGTATCAAAGGCTTTTTTAAGTCTACAAATACAACCAAATTAAAAGGTTTTCTATCCATGTTTATGTACCAATCATTTGTGCAATCAAATAAAGCTGTTGCAGTTGAATGAAATTTTCTGAAACCAAATTGATGTTCAGAAAGTATGTTATTTGCACTCAAATATTCATAAAGTTGAGTATATAGGATACGTTCCATAATTTTACTAATGGCTGGCAACACAGAAATTGGTCGATAATTTCCTGGCAAGTTTCGTTTGCCATTCTTAAAAAGGGGGATTACCCTTGCAATTTTCCATTCATGTGGAAAAGTACATAAAGTTATTGCTTGATTAAAGATGTAAGTCAATGAATCGGAAATTAATGGTGCAGCAATTTTGATTATCTTGCTGGATATTTTATCCAGGCCAGTAGCTTTGCTACCAGACAGTTCACGTAATAAAAGACAAACATGACTAACAGTAACTGACTGGAATGCAGTAAATTCAGAATTAGTTTTGTCAAGGAAGTCTTTAGAATGACATCCTGGTGTACTAATTTCTTCGGCTAAATTCGGTCCAATATTTGAAAAGAAGGTATTGAAGCCCTCAGAAATTTCATCAGGGCTTGTTAATTTTATGCCATTTAAGTTTAATTCATTTACTTTAGTTCTTTGATTTTGTTTACCAAGTAAAGTATTAATTGTCTTCCAAGCAGCTTTTGGATCTTGCTTTTCAGTCGCTATTTTATTGGAATAATATTCCTTTTTGGTTTGTCTTAGAAGATTGTTTGTTTCATTTCTGGCTTTTTTATAGTTATCCCAATCTGTTTCAAGTTTAGTGATAATTGCTTTTCTTTTCAAATTATCTCTTGCAATTATTAGTTTTTTTATATGACTAGTAATCCAAGGATTTTTTTTTGATTTTGTTTTTTTGTTTTGAATTGGGGCATGTTTATCTAGGACTTGTAAGAAAAGTTGTTTCCAAATTTCCCACATAGTGTCAGGATTGTCTGCAAAAAAATAGACATGTTCCCATGTTTGAGTTCCTAGGTCTTGTAAAAACTGCTGTTCATTGAATTTTTTCATATTTCTAATTTCAATTATGTTATCATTATCTTTGTGTCGAATGTTAATCTTTCTTATGCCATAAATGAGACTGTGGTCACTAATTCCAGTATGTATTACACCACATTTGGATATTTTTCCTGGTTCATTGGTAATAAAATGATCAATAAGTGTGGAGGATGTCCTAGTGATCCGTGTGGCTTTATCAATTATCTGGGATAATTGATAAATTTCGAGTAAAGATTTAAGTGTCTTAGTTGGATGGTCAGGAATAGACTTAAAAAGGTCGCAGTTAAGATCACCCAGTATATAGATTTCCTTGTTTTCATTATCAATCTTTTTTAATAGGTTTTCAAGATGGATAAAAAAATTCGATGAAGCATCTGGGGGTCTATAAACCGTAACAACCACAAATGGTCTGCTATGCGGTTTAGTTATCTCTATGCATATAGCTTCTAGATCGGCTGGTATAAGATCTTGTCTGATTTGATAGTTTATAGAATTACGTAGATAAATGCAAACACCACCACCATTTCTAGACCTATCTTTTCTTATAATGTCATACCCATCTATATGAATCATACCATCAGTTATGGTTGAATTAAGTCTGGTCTCACTAAATGACATTATATCGAGTAATTTGTTTGACATAGTTAAGTTAATTTCATCAAATCTTTTTGGCAAGCTTACTATATTTAAAAAAGCCATTTTAAATCCACGCTGATTGGGAAGACAATTAATTTTATCCGAAAAATCGCTACCCATTTCTGTTTCATTATGTATTTGACTATGTTCTATTTTATTATGTAATAATGGATTACTTTCTACTGTTGTATCATTTTTGCAACGTGTGCTAGGTACAGGCATTCCAAATCTGATAAACATTGATAATTCTCTCTTCGCGTATGTCCACGCGTAATTCTCGCAAAAAACACACATTAATTGTGTCGGCAGCATTGATGATCACGGCAGCCAATCAAATAACGATTTCGATTCGATTTCCCCAGACTCATGCCACTACCTAACCCGCGAACAGGCATACTCTGGGAACGAGATTGGTCATTTTCCAATGTATATATGGAACTTGACCTTTTATATTGTCGTACTTAACTAACACTACGTATACCATAAATTCTGACAGGAGAGTTAAATGTAAATTTTAAAGCATAAAAATATATAATACTCATTCTTGAGGAGATTTATCAGTAAAGGTGAAGTACGATGCATATCACTAAACACCAACAGTACAAGTGACAAGTCGAAGCGCCTTCCCTCGGAACGTCGAAGTTCTCCTTGTATTTTTCAGGTAGTTGTATCCCTATCAATTAATTCTTTGTCGTGATCTAGACGTCAACCAAGACCCACAAGAGTACGAGTTCAACCGGTAAAAACTCGGCGCCACTGGAGGCTCAGTTCGTGTCACAAGAAAATGCACGTCGCTATGAGAACCTCTATCCAGCCGCTGCAGAAACGGTGTTAAAGTCAACATATCTACAGTAGCGTAGCCAGCCCGACTATTTGGTCCCGCTATGCAAATATTTTCATGTTCATTGACTGTGAAAACAATCAATTTCTAAAGAAATGAATAATGATAATAATTTTGAATTTGCATAGCGGGACTAAATTGTCGGTCTGGCTACGCCACTGCATATCTAGATGATTCACTTGATAGCGTTGAGGATAAAGAGCACGGAATCGATCTATACGAACAGTTAAAGGAGCTTTGGGGACTTGCTGGTATGAATGCTAGAAAATGGATTTCGAATTCGCCAGACGTCATGGCTGCTATTCCTGTTGAAGATCGTGCTACCGAGTTTTCCATCAACGACTGTCAAGATCCTGTTACAAAGACGCTAGGTCTATCGTGGAACAGTTCAGATGATGTTCTCACAGTTCCTACATCAGCAACATCTTCTGATTTAAAGATCACAAAACGCCATGTATTAAAGAAAATAGCTACAGTCTTCGACCAACTAGGTTTCGTTAGTCCTGTTGTTATTCAAGCGAAAATCCTCCTACAAGAACTGTGGTCCAGAGGATACGAATGGGATGAACCAGTAACCGATGAGCTTGCTAACCTTATAGGGAACTGGTTTAATCGATTATCGAGTTTAACCAATGTGAGAGTCCCCAGGAGTCTACGCGAACCTAAGCCTGTTGCGTCAACAGAAGTCGTGATACTCGTCGACGCGTCGAAGGAAGCGTATGGTGCTGTAGCATATCTCCGTCACAGTTACGAGGATGGGACTGTAACAAGCAGAATGATTGCATCGAAATGTAAAGTCGCGCCTGTACCTCCCATAACCATTCTAAGATTGGAACTTATGGCTGTCGTGCTAGGGTTACGTTTAACCCAATCGATCGTCGAAGTGTTGGAGTTATCGTTGAAGGAAGCGTTCTTCTATTCCAATAGCATGGATGTGTTATGGTGGGCTCGAGGCAAAGGAAGAGATTTCCGAGCGTTTGTGGCCAATCGGATCGGCGAGTTGCAGATGTATACTGATCCAGCGCAGTGGCAACATGTTCCAACCGATGAGAACCCCGCTGACTTGTGTTCAAGAGGAGCCACCCCAAACGAGTTGAACGAAAGCATACTTTGGTGGAATGGTCCCGAATGCTTGATGAAAGATCGAAATGAATGGCCAAAGATGAAGACCGAAACACGGCCTCAAGAAATACCAGAAGTAAAGTTACCAAGCAAAAGCTCGAGAAAACCAAGCCTTGAAACCAGATCGCATGTTAGTCGTCAACGAAAGGTATCGCCCGAGAACAAGGCAAACGAATGGGGATTGGACCCCACCCGTTTTTCGAATTGGACGAGGTTGGTACACCTGCACGCAAGAGTAAGCAGAGCAGTTCACAACATAAGAACGGTCCACAAAGTGACCAGTATTGAACTGCAACCGCACGAGATAGCAGAAGCTCGAGAGGCGATCATAAGAAATGCACAGAAAGAAGCAGGATGATTACAAAGCGTTACGACCATTAGCTGTAAACAATCTGTTAGTTAAGTTGAATCCACGATTGGATGAAAGTGGCGTTATCCAATCAACTAGTCGTTTGGGGTTTGCGGTATATTTGCCCTACGATACTAAGTTCTCGATCATACTACCTGAACATCGAACATTGAACAAGGACAAAGTTAGACACACTGGGTTTAATTGTTTTTGTTTGTGGAAACACCACGTAAATTTATTACTGCAGTAATAAATTTACGTGGTGTTTCCACAAACAAAAACAATTATATTTTATCGCCATGCAAACATTCAAAGAACTTACACTGGGTTTTATTCCCAATGTGGGAAGGGGGAATGTGGAGAAGTGACTGTATATGTATATATTGACATTTAATTTGTTATTAATTATTAGGAAAACGAACAGACAATTTGCATAAATTAGGCGAACAGCGTAGCCAAGACAGTGTTTTTCGTATTCGAGCATGGATATTGTAAAATAAAGAGTTGAGTTTTTTATAGCTGTTTTCGTCGTTTTTCAATCGAAAGTTTTATAGTCTCGTGAACAAATAGAGAATGTGTATAATGGGCCAAATATGAAGGTGAATTCATTGTTGTAAAAGAGAACATAACCCCTGTTAGGTTGGACAGCATTACAGGAAATGACTTCATCGAGGTCAAATCACAGATGGCCCAGGAGTTTATTTATTTATTTTTATTTTATTATATTTTGTATTAAAATTTTACTTTAAATTATAAAGTATAATTTACGTAGGGGCCATTCACAAAGGATGTCCGGCCAAATGATGGATTTTCAGACCCCCCTCTCCCCCCCCTTGTCCGGCATTGTCCGAATTAGTGACCCCTCCCCCCGGACATCCGCCATGCCTCGCAAAAACTCACGCAACCTTGTATATATCAAGAGTAAAAAACTTTTTTTACTTTTAGAACTTTTTTATAACTGTAAATGTGAACACAAAAACATATAAATTACTAATTAAAACAAAATCTAGTGTTAACCGCGAGTCAAATTGCCAATTTCACAATGGGAAGGACTGCTCAAAATAGAGGGAAAAAGAAATTTGTTTTTGAATTTTTTTAAATTTCGGACATCCGGATTGCTAAAAACCCCCCTCCCCCCCTATGTCCGAGTTTGTCCTGATTTTCCAAACCCCCCTCCCCCCCTCGGCTCGGACATCCTTTGTGAATGGCCCCTTAGTTTCTTTATATATTCTATGTTATTTGGGGGTGGTTTTAGTACTATTTAAAACGAGAAGGAGTGTTTTATCATATTTAAAACGCGAGGCGCAGCCGAGCGTTTTAGATGTGATAAAACGCGAGTTCGAGTGTTTTGAATAGCTTAAAATACGACTACAAAAGAATACTAATCAGGATGAACAATTATATAATCATACAAATTAGGATGAAGAATTATACAATGTGTATAAAAAAAATTGAACCCTTTCAAATTCAAATTTGCTATAACGTATTGTAGTAATTTGACAGCTCTAATTGCTTTGAATTAATGGTTGGGTAAGAACACAAGGTCTTGTACTCATGGGACGAAACTCAAAGAAATAAAAATTAGAAAATTTAAAAGTTTTTAAAAGTTTTGTCCCATGAGTACAAGACCTTGTGTTCTTACCCAACCATTAATTCAAAGCAATTAGAGCTGTCAAATTACTACAATACGTTATAGCTAATTTGAATTTGAAAGGGTTCAGTTTTTTTTATACACCCTGGATACGTTATAGCTAATTCAGTGAATTTGAAAGGTTCAGTTTTTTTTATACATCCCAGGCGCAGCCGAGCGTTTTAGATATGATAAAACGCGAGTTCGAGTGTTTTGAATAGCTTAAAATACGACTACAAAAGAATACTAATTAGGATGAACAATTATATAATCATACAAATTAGGATGAAGAATTATACAGTGTGTATAAAAAAAACCTGAACCCTTTCAAATTCAAATTAGCTATAACGTATTGTAGTAATTTGACAGCTCTAATTGCTTTGAATTAATGGTTGGGTAAGAACACAAGGTGAAGAAGATAAGAGTTCGAAAAC